GATATCGTAATTATTGGAGGCTGGAATTGAGGGTATCAGTGGCCTGATTGTCTAATCACGAAGCTACGAAGCAAAGCTTTTATTAATTACAAATTCATTGGCGCTTTAAGTTTAGTGGAAAGCAGGCCGGAAAACGGATCTTCCTTCAGGAGGCTTCTTCCGTTGGGGCTCGTGCTTGTTATGTAATACAAAACTCGACCCTTTTTGAATGCTCTAATAAGAAATGTTCATTATTTTAGGCACAAGTAGGTTTCGAGGCCACTGGTAGCTCTTGAATAAGCTCTTAGTCTATTTGACCAACGTTTCCTTTTCCCAAAATGATATAATTAGTTAGGCCTCACTATGTCATTGAATTTCGCTTAGCCTTGCCTTCTAAAATGTTATTTCATACAGGCTGGACGTCAGTTTTTACTTCGCCTAGATCTCATCAGTACCTCCAAAATGAATTTGATACCGAGTGGTAAGTCTTCCCTACAGCTGATTTCTTCTCGACTTCCTCGTCCTTTCAGATAGATTTCGCAGAACCTACCCCATCTTGCATTCTGTCTGCTATTATTTGATCTGCCATCATCGAGCCGTTATCTTAGTGCTATCTGGTGCAGTTAATAATGTCAGAAACGCGGGCGTTTGTCTAAAAATGCTTTGTATACTCTACTTTTGTCGCAACTCAACCCGTACTATTTCGTTTCCGAACTCGCTTTGGATGGTCATGAGGCCGAAGCGGAGCTGAAGTCGCGAGCCACCGTCTCGATAGGCACTGTGCAATGAGCTTTAATGCAGGATTAAGGTCTCCCATCAATGTGTTTCCACATGAGCTCCACAAAGGATGCCAGCGAAGGGTATTCGGCCAGAAGCTCGTGCATAAAACCGATGCAACGGCCCTGCGTAATCTGCGCGACCGATTCCAACAGATGCATTCCTGTCTATTCATTATTCACCTCGCCCAGTTGTCTCATCAGTACGACAGTACAGATAGAACCGTCGATGTGTCGACTTATGGCCTTCGTCTCGTTGAGCCACTCAACAGACCTCTTTAAATTCCACATACTACTGAGCTGTCGTAAATAGTAGGCACTTTAGCAGTCTTCATGGGGGTACGATGAAATCTGCTGACTGACCGGATCGACGTCATTGACATGTGATAAAGCCCGCCATAAGTTTATGCTCAAAATCTCACGATCTCATCGTCTATCCAGTAAGTCTGTCTGTAATGATATATTGAAAGAGTTACATCGTCTTTTGACGGTTGGCTTCTGGAGATGGCAATCAGCATGGACAAGTGGAGCTAGTTGGCTGCCAATTTGATGCTGATTCTCTATCGTAGAATGGCCGGTTTCTCGCGTTGCACCTTTCCATTTGTCCCCCATTGTCCGTCCCATGAAGAGTGCAAATGCGGCGCACCTCCAGGTCACTTGCTCTGCGGGAGACCGGAGAGGAAGAAAAATTAAATTGTTGCCTTCAATCTTGGTGCATGTTATACTTTTTACAGATTTGTAAGCCAGTCAAGAGGTCGGAAAAAATTCCTTCATAATTCAACATTTCTCTTGTCAATGCTGTGGCTGCCAAGTGCATACACTCGCAATGCACACTAACATTGCACACATCAACTTTCGAAGTCCAGACATAAGAGACGAACAGCCCAGCAAATGTCTGCTGGGTTACGTTTGTTCAATGGCCGAAAGGAAAAATATCCTCATAAGCCGAATGGGATTTGTGGACTTTTTTCCGCTGTCGCTGCACAAATGGCATGGAGACATGCCAATATTGGCTGTATCCTCGGTGAAAAGCAGAGCAAAAACGAGTCAGGCCTGGCAACTGCTAACAACCTGACTGTTGCCCCAGAAGCGATGGACTGTTGGCATGATTGGCCAGATGCCCAAGGACAAATGTCATTTGCATCTCTCGCCCGAATCTCTCTGGATCCCGTTTCGTGTCGGACGAGTCGGTTGGGCATCAAAGTCGGCTCATCTCCCACAGATGCTGGAATGGTAAAACCCGGTGCCACTGTGTAGCCAACTAGTCAAGCCTTAATGACAAAAGCCTGCGTCCGGTCAGTTTGTATTTGTTGGGATTACTTCCATTTCGAGTGGAAGTAATCCCAACAATTATAAAACAAGAGATTCCTTGAAACCCAACTTTTCTTCGTACATAAAACAGTTTGTATTTGATGAAGTGGATTTTTTTTATCCATTTCGTAGTCGTATTACTTAAATAAAACAGGTTCCTGTTCGACGCAAGGCTTATTCACCCTATTTCGTGTAAGATGATGAAGGACTGGTAGTAGAATTTTCCCACAATGATATGAGTTTA